AAGTAAGTTGATACTACTTTTTTTCAATCTAGCTGCAACATGCAAGTTTGATTGATTTTATGAGTCTTGAAGTGAAGTATTATGCTCTGTAGATACCATGTGGTGACTTTTAGAAGTTGGAAAATTAAAGCAAGGATATTACCACAGTACTAGGCCAGTGAATTTGTAAACCAGACACTTACTTTCCAATTTATAAAATTGTGGTACCAAATATGTATACAGTCGGTGCTCCATATGTGTGGGTTCCACACCTGTGGATTCAACTAACCATGGACTGAAAATATTTTTTTGACAAGTGGATAGTTGCATCTGTACTGAACATGTATAGACGTTTTTCCTGGTCATTATTCCCTAAGCAATATCACACACACACACACACACACACACACATACGCACACGCCCGCACGCGCGCGCACGCATGCACATCCATATTGCTGTAATTCACCTAAGAAACAGTTCTGGTATTAGACATGTCTACTGTATTGTCTCAAAGTTGTAGTGCTTTTTAAAATAAAAGTTTATTCTTTAATAAAAATGAAAGAATAAGATCTGTTGTGTGAAACATGAGTGAGTGCCCCCTAGGTCTCTTCCCTCTCTACAAAGACCACCAACAAAGAGAGATGAGTCACAGACAAGCTCAACACCCAGGATGCTACCTGCTTGTCAGGTAGTGATCACAGTTGTCAACAGAAGGTTCTGCGGATTCCAATGCAGCAGTATATGCGGGTTCAAACAAAGCTCTCAAAGTCAGCTTCCTCATCTAAGGCCATGTCAGGAATAATTCCACAGTGAAAAAAAATTGAAGTTTAAAAAATTAAAAGACACATGGACATAGGAAGGAAGTTCCTGATATTTTCTATTTTCTACGTTCACATGGAACACCAGGGAGACAGAAGAAATGGACAATAATTCCTTTGGAACATGAATTCAACTTTTTCCTACCTACTAACCATATTCATTCCAATTTTAGCAGTTCCGTGGGAGGAAAAATGAAACATGAATTTTTTCTATGCTTTCAACTCTGCATATTTCTTTACCTCAACCTGGAATGCCCTCCCCTTTCTGGGTCTTCCTAGGCCTGCCTATAAGCCACATTTTCTTTTTTGTGTAATGCTACGATGACCAGAGAGCAAGAATGTTCAGACTAACAGTAGCACGAGCAAAGCAACAAAGCTACCATTACTGACTGTCTAACTGAGAAGCCACACTCTTTCAGACACTGTCGACCCATTATCTCATTTAATCCTCAAAGATGTTATTGTTATTCTGCAGTATATTGACTCAAAGATGCTCAGTAACTCCCTGAAACACACAGCTAGCACGTGGTTAGCTGGGGTTCAAGACCAGTTCTTTCTGACTCAAGGGTTCTTTCTGCTTCTCCAGGTGAACCTACAATTTCTCAGCACCCCCAATCCTGTGTTCTTTATTCTTCTAAATGAATGCATTTAGCATTTGTGAATGTGCTTTGGCTCACACATGGAGTCTTTTTTTTCCGGATAGAACTAATGACACTTCCAGGACAATAGTATCATTACTAAGATGTGGAGACCATTTTAGACCATTTGAAGTCAAATGAAATATATGTACACTTTTAAAAGATGTAATGCAGATATCAAATTTCTGAAAATTGCTAATTAATTGAAGAAATAAAACAAATAATCCATTAGAAGATGTTTATGAGAATGTCTGGTGTTGGGACTTTATAACTGAAAATGACAGTAAATCTAGTTTCCACTTGGGCTTAAGTATGCTTGCCTATTGTAAGTCAGAAATAAATGGTCTGATGGACTTAAGTGGCTGCAAATGGCTCACTACACTTGAACAGGGAGGGAGACAATATCTGGGGCCCAGGGTACCACAACAAATCTACTTAAAGCACCCATGTGTTGGAATTGGAGAGTGATGTCAGGACACAGGAGGCCATAATGTTCCCCTCACTTGCAATGTGACTTGTGGAAGTAGGGAGGAGTGTGTAAAATCTTGAGGGCAGGGAGGGAACGGATGAATTGAAGGAACAGACTTTGTGTTAAAATTTTGCTGAGTTCTATTTCCCACTCCACTGTTATCACACAAGATAAATACAGATACTGATCTCTCTCTGTGTGTGTGTGTATGTGTGTGAGTACATATGTACATATTCATATTTCAAACTAAATTGCCATTGCTTTCACTCATTTTCAGTTGCTTTATTTGAATTATTTGAAAAAGTCAGAGAATTCTAAAGAACTTTACAAGAGTTTAGGTTTATCAAAACAGAGTACAAAATTTTAAAATGATTAATAAATTTCACTAGAATAAATTATTTAATGTCAGGACTATTATCTTTAAAACTTTTGTATTAAGGGTCACCAGCATCCTGGTGCAAAATTCTGAACTTACCACCTGTATATATGTTCAAAACTAGGAGATTTAAAGAAACATTAACTAGCATAGGTTAGTCCCCAGTCTTTTTTAAAATAAATTTATCTAAAAACACAAATTCTTTATTTATTCGAAGTTGGGAAAATGACAGAATTTCAAGAGCACAGAATGACTTTCTCGTTTGCAAAATGAGGACAGTGAACAAGATCATCATTAAGATTCCTTCTGATTTCTGGAATCCAACTTTAGTTCTCAGCAAGTTAGAGAACTTAGTATTTTAAATTCATGTAAGCATCCTAGATAATTAATATTTATCTTATATTGTCTTTTAAACAGACAATATTGTAGTTATTTCTACATGGATTAATCACTTTTTAAACAGAAGAGAAGCATTAACTTTTCCATGGAAATAATAACATCAGCGAAACTAAAACTTTTGTAAACCAGGATAACTCTACAACTCAATTTCAACTTTGGAATTTAACACACTGAAGATTTAAGGAGAGCAATTATCTAAACTCAAGGCTGACATTAGGGTACACACATCATACTAGGATACCTACTTGCCCCCTCATATGACTTCTCAAAACAAACATCAGATTCATCATTAGAGATACTATTTGGTCTCATTTTCTGACATTCAATAGCTCATTTCTAGAGAAATGAAAGATATATTTATGATAACCTAAAAACGGAGAGACTAACTGTATGCCTAATATTGAAAAATGAACTGTGTCATTTAATCCTCTCAACAAAGTAGGTACGTCATAACATCAGTTTTACAGATGACAAAAACCAAGCCCAGAAAAGCTAAATGACTGGCCTAAGATCACCTAGTTTGTCAGTAGTAGGGCTGGATCTTAATCCTGACCATCTAATTTCTCAGTATGTGCTATTAAATATCACCCTCAAATCTTAATAAAATTACAGTTAGCTTAAAAAATAGAATTATCATATACTTAGACAGAGAAAAATATTTTGAAGAATTGACAAAAGTGTTTCTCATTATCTGGGGTCACCTATATCCACGTGACCAATATGGCGGGCGCTGGCCTCATGTGCTATTGAGCACTGCAATCATGGCTACTTTAAGTTAAGATGTACTATAAAGGTGAAATACACACCAGATTTGATTACAGTGTGCAAAAATATAGCATATCTTATTAATCACTGTATATGGATTATCTGTTAACAGTAAACATTTCAGGTTTGATAACTATATTATTGAAATTAATTTCATTACATTTTCATTAATTACTTTTACTATTTGCTGGGAAGTGTAATATCACATGCAATTCTTCAGCTTGCATTGTATTACTCTTGCACAGAGTTGACCCAGAGTATCACTTCTCAGGTTACTTTTACAATGAGCTACATTTTGGATTTGTATCAGACTATAGCCACATACAAGTACTCAGATTGAACATATTCTTCCTCGAGAATAATATAATCCATTCAATTGAGTATCAGGACTGTCAGGTTTATAGTCTTAAAATCGATAGCTTCTTAACTCAAAGTTAGTTAATAATAAAAGTTATTTTCTCTAAGATAATTACCCTTTTAAAAATGTTCTACCCTTTGATATAAGCCACAGTCTTGCCTATTAATTAGCTTTTCTGCAGAGGCTGCAGCTCACGATGGCAGACGCAGGTCAAGACTCCTCATCACCCAAGGGAGCCGATGACAATACTTGTCAGGGCTGATGGAAGCCCCCACTGACAACAGAGAGAAACTGGAGACCACACAGGGTGATTGTCCCTTAACCCAGAGAAAATCCCCATAGGTCTGCCAGACTGACTTGGGTGTCCTATCTCACACTGGCAGATAGGTTGAGGCTGTTTTTTATATAAAAGCTTGTTTGCTTAGTACTTTTGTTTATTCATTCACATGTTTCAAGCTTTTACTATTTCCCCCATACTTTAATAACTATGATAGCAGTATAGTTGTTCATACTCGTGATTTAAAAAATAAGTTCACATTTCTTATTATCAATTTTGTTTTTATTTTTATTTGGGTTTCATATGGTGAGCTGATTTTTAGAAACATTATACGAAAAAGTACATAAAAAATATCTGCAACTGCGTGAGCATAGAGCAATAGCCTATGATAACAATAATGAAAACTCCTAACAACCAGCTAATCACTCTCTTAACCTGGGCAGCCATCTTTCCGTAAGACTGGAATAAAAAGAGCCTTTGTGCCATTGTTTGATGTTCTGCAACAATTGCAACTTTCTCTCATTAGTGCTAAGAGTGGGATAAAAACAGGCTAAATGAAATAGAACCAAAAATCCTCTCTAAATGGGGTGAGCACATGACTGATATTTCAAGGCATTTGATATCTGAGACGTTATGTGACTTTCTTAGTATCATCTGAGGAGGTTTTTTAAAAAGAGAGATTTAGATGTGGATCCAATTAATAGCCCACAGTCAGCGA